AAAAAAAAAAAAAAAAAAAAAAAAAAAAAAAAAAAGAATGGAGGAGGGAAAACAGAGGCGCTGCCACTAGAACTTGTAGTGATTACAGAGCAGGCAGGGGCCACCCTGGCCCCAACGCTCTGGCGGACTTTGGGTTTAAGCTTTGGATCGTGTGCTGGTCCTTCTCCAGCTGGCTGCCCCTTCCCCAGACCTGTCCTCTGTGCCCCTCTGTCCAGCAGTGCCCCAGCAGCTGGACTCCATGTCTGCAGCGCCCAGGCTCCCTCCCCTGTGGTTTCCAATGGCACTGCCCAGGAAGCTGGCTCAGCCGGAAGTGGGGGCCACCTGCTCCAGTCCGCCTGTTCTTTGAATACAGGAGGGGGACCTGTGCTGATTGGTGGGCAGTGCCTTAAAGGCGACCACCTGGGCAGGGTCTTGGAAATATGTGACAAGGTCTTGGGCAGAGGTGTGTGGACAGATCTCCTGAAATGGCCGGGGCATGAAGACACTTCTGCATTCCTCTCAGGCCATTGCTGGGGGCAGGGGGCTCCAGCCCCTCAGTGGCGCCAAGCCCTGGGACTGGGCCTCTGTAGAATTAGAGAGCATGTCCCAGAACCCCCTGGGCCCGCTGGCCAGTGGAAAGGGCAGCTGCAGAGACGGACAGAGGTGGGAGTGGGGGCCGCCATGGGAGGAGGGGCGGGGGTGGTCCTCGCGGTCTCCGGGGACACCACTGATCCACTTCCTTTGCTTCATTGGCCCACAGACATTGGGTGGGAAGCAGGGCTTCCTCTCATCTGCCCTTCACCATCCTGCTGCAGAGGAGGGTCCTTGCATGGTGACGCCTGGGGCACAGCCCTGCCTCCCCTGCCTGCCTGCTCCCGTCCCCTCTTTGCCCAAAACTGGAAAGATGTCGTGGACAAAAGATGCATCCAGGTAGGGGGACAGCAGAGCCCTCAGCCTCATGGCCAGCCCCGATGCAGTGGGGAGAGGACAGCATTCCCCCAGGCAGCCGCCCTAGGAGCTGCCATGACCAGGAAAAGCTCAGCACTGGTGAGCCCCCAGCCCCAGAACAGGCTCAGGGCACGGACAAAGACGGACTCCCGGGGGAGGCCTCTGGTTGGGTCTAATTGGATTTCTACCTGACTGTCCGAGCTGAGCCATCAACAGCTCCTCCTGTTTCCATCTGACTCTTCTCCCTGGAGTGGGCTGACAGGTTGGTCACCCAGCTGTCCTCACGCCCAGAGATGCCGTGGTAGTGAAGGGTCTCTCCCGCCCCACTGCACTGTCACCCAGGCCCCTGTTCTGCCTGTACTCCTGCGCCTGGGACAGAGGGGCTGCAGGAGCCCCAGACTTCCCCTAGAAGCCAATGTGAGCAGGCTGGCCGAAGCCCAGGGGAGTTCTGGACAAGGACTTGGGGGTCCCCAGGGTCTCCACCACTTTCTGCTTCCCTGGGCGAGCTCTTGAGTGCCCTCACAAAGCTGGGGCAAGAGCAGAGCTCAGCACCTGCCCTAAGGGGAAGGGGGAAGCTGGGGCAGGTGCAGAGACTGCCCTACTAAAGTCTCTAGCCCCCAACCCTTCCCTGCCAGGCACAGACCCCGCCCAAAGTCCCAACAGGCTGGAGAAGCCTGGTGTTGGGATTAGGGCCCTCCATGCCAGGTGAAGGACAAGGGGCACTGTGACTGGGTGGGGGCTTCTGACTCTTGACCTCAGTGTCTGGTAGAGCCCTTAAGATCTGGTGCTGACCTGGATTTTTTCAGGATGACCAGAAGTTAGTGACCCTGGGGAGAGGAGCTCCATGGGTGTTGGGGGGCCATGGCTGCCCAACCCTCAGGGACCCAGGACTCAGTGAGCATTGCAGCCCACCCCATCCCTTTTCTTTCCCCCAGGTGAGGAGCCCCTGGAAGGCAGCACAGGAGTTCAAGATTCAGGGCAGTTGCCAGAGACCCCTCCGCCTCCCCGCCCAGGGCAGCCCCTCAGCTGGAGTCATGCTCCCCTGCACTGAGGCTCCTGCTTCCTGTGCAGTCAGGGCAGGCAGGTCTGGCCAGGTGTGCCCCGGAGGGGTGTCCTGAGCGCTGGGTGATCTGCACAGGATGTGACGAGGGGGGGGGGGGGACGGTGTTCCCTTCGTCCATACCTAACCCTTTCCCTGAGCCGTCCAGGGAGAAACGAGAAGGCAGAGAAGGTGGGTCGGTGCCGTCGCCGCCCCTTCTGCGTGCGGAGAGAGTAGCGTTTCCACCAGACCAAAGCTCACCCCTCAGGCTTAACCTCCCGGGTGGGCGGGCGCCGTCTGTCCCTAAGGAGCCGCAGCCCTGGGCACGAGGGGCGAAGCTGCGTCCTCGCCCCGACGCGATCAGCTCGGGCAGGCACCCTTTCCTTGCCGGTCCCCACCGCGGGTCCGGGACGGACGCTGCGCATCCCAGGCCGCCGCCCGCTCCTTCCCCCCTCGGGAGTCGCGGAGGCCCCGACTGCCCCGCGCGATG